TTTTTTTTTTTTTCTTTTCTTCTTTTTAAAATCACTTGTGAGATGGTGTTGAGTTAGTTATACAGAAGTATATATGCATATAGACATATATGCATATGACTGGTGCTTAAACTTGCACAGCCTGACTACAGTCTTGCATTCTTATGTGGCCCCTGACGTCTACACATAAACTACATCCATCCCGGCAAACATTGGGCCAACGCTTACTTGCCCATAATGCAAAGGGGCCTGGATGTCTGAGATCCGCCCAGGAAGCCACCTGCTTGCCCGTTTGTACCCTGGTGCGGGCTGGGTGCGCTGTGCAGGCAGGAGGGCAGCAGTGGGAACCTCCTCCCCCACCATCCTCCATTGCTGACCCCCAGCGGAACCCACGCCTACCCTGGCACACGCTGTCACCGGTGGTGCCGCTCAGGTGGAATCCGGCCTCGCAGCTGCAGTGCTGGGCCCGCTCCACCTGCGCACAGCGCGGTGCGCGGCTAAAGGCAGAATCTCCGGCCACGCCGCCCTCTGGGGCACCTGCAGGGAGAAGACATTCTCATTGCCGGGGTGCTGACTGGGGTTGGGGGACCCTGGCGCACACCACTTGCGTAGGGTCCTGGAATCCAGATGGACCATGGCCTCTTTTCAAAGAGCTTACTCTAAAGTAGGGAAAAGAAAGATAAGTAATTAACCATAAACCCCACAGACCAGTCCGAGACCACCCAAAGGGGGCAGAGGTCAGAGTGGACCCAAATAGAATTTTCAGGAAAAAGCAGACCAATGATGCTGTGCACCACGAACGGCCTCTATGGCAGGTCCACACTGTCACTTGAAAAGATTTAAACAACCCCCAGATACTAACAGTGACTACAACAGTTTAAAACTATGGGTCACTATTTGGGGGTCGGGTGGGGGATTATTTGTACTTTTCTAAAGTGTCTATGTTTTGGTTTGTTTTTTACTGATAGGCCAAAGGCAGAAATACTTTTATTTTATTTCCTAATCAGAAGTAAAAATGTTTTTGAAAGTTTTCAAAGGATTATAGAGCTCTCACATGGTTGGGGGAGATTCAGGGGGAATCAGTAGGAAAAAGAACCAGAGGCGCGACAGAACAAATATCACCTGATTGCACACAGATGGGGCCCTACTCCTGGAGGAAGAAGGTAGAATGGTTGGTCACCAGGGTTTGGCCCCGGAGAGCAGTGGGGAGTTGTGTCCTAGGGACAGAATTTCAGTTTTGTAAGATGGAAAGAGTTCTGGGGTTGGATGGTGGTGATGGGCCTACAACAATGTGAATGAGCTTAATGCCACTGAACTGAACACTTACGAATGACCACCTTAACCATTTTTATGTTATTATATTTTACCACATTAAAATATAAAGTGGATTTTTCAAAAAGTAATTGGAAGGAGGCTCCACCATGGAGCAGGAAGGACACAGGTCAGCTGGTGGGAAGGTAGCTTCCCTGAGGGACCTGGATCTGGCTTCCGCTAACCTACTCACTCCCCCTCCTTACCCTTCCTGGTGAAGGGTCAGGTCATGGGTACTTTCTACAGTGCCCTGGACCTGAGCAACAATTGCCTGAAGAGGGATTTAGAACACACCTATTTGGGGTGAAAAGGAGCACATTTCTTTTTCCCACTTGTTTGTAATCAAGGGGAGAGGCAGTGGAGTTTCCAGGAAGGCCTGCCTCTGGCCTCTGTTTCCACAGAAAGCAGCCCCAGGGACAGGAGCTCTAAGGGGACCTCTGGGCTCCCTGGGGCTGGGAAGTGAGGGCTCCTCACTCTGATAAACTGCCCAGCTGCTGCTCAGCTGAACTGAATGAGCTAATTTGCACATTAGTAGCAAATCTCCTGGGGCACTATTTAATCCTGACCTTGGGCTGGGTCCAATATGAGAATATCAAGTATTGATAAAGCTCCTATTCTCTAGACACTGCATTAACCACTAATGTCCCCTCCCTCCACAGAGACTCCAGTGATGAAGATAACCAGACAGAGCACACTAGGGTTTTCTGGTGAAGAAGTAGGACATCTCTAGGGTTGGACTATTTTATGGATGAAACCTTGGTTGCAGCATTGTGTGGGAAGACCTGTCCATCCTCCATGGATTCCTGATCGTTAGACTTTCTCACTACAGGCAACCAGTCACTGTGTGATTCTTAGACCTTCTGGTTGGGACTCAGGATGTGAATAATAACCTCATCTCCAGTCAAATGTCCAGTTATCCAGCTCTCAAAATACTAGAGCCTGTATCAATAGCTGCTAATTTTATAGGACATGATGGGGACATTTGAAAGGCAAGGCAATTCTGCTGGCAGGAGAAATGCTGATCAAGCAAAGGTGCCAACAGTGAAATTTCTCAAGGCATTTAGGTTGGGAGTCAGTTCTCCTACCCGTGTTTCCCTACATAATAAGGAACAAAAACCCTGGCTGCACAAAAGAGGTAAGCTCCAGCCAAGTGACCGAGAGGGATCAAGGGATACAAAACAGAGAGGAAAAGCGCACATCTTGGGGGGTGGGGATTGGGCTGAGCTCCCGACGTGTCTACATTTAGTGACCCCTGGCTAGGGTCCTCACCCAGCCCACAGCAGCTACATACCGGTCTGGGCCTGGTGCTGACAGCGGCTCCCTGTCCTTCCTGGAGGACAAATGCATCTGTACTGGTTGACTCCTTCTACACATGTGCCACCATTTTGGCAAGGCTGGCTGGAGCATTCACTGATATCTAGGAAAATAAATAATTTTCCAATACAAGTATATGAGTTCTACTCTAAAACAAAGGAAACCTGATGGGTTGACTTTCTTTAGAAGTAGAATACCTCCCACTTACTCCCCACCAAGCCACCCTTGTCATCCTCTCCACCAGCATAAGCTGCAAGGGGTCCTGCAGAGCTGAGATGCAGCCCCATTGCATTCGGCAGGCCTTGCATTCTGGGATGCACTGTGCCCACCTGGGACTCTGTGTGCAGGAGATGGCCCATTGCCTGGCCATGCTCCACCCAGAGGCACTGTTTTCTGATTTTCAAAGATTCAGTGTAGATCGCTATAGCCAGGCAGAGGTGGCTACCTGCAGGTATCTGCCTACAGTGCCTTTGAGTCAGGCCCTCTTGCCCACCAACTCTACTCCATCACCCAGCACCTGTGAAGAACACCTTTTAAACAGGAACTAAAGTCAGGGGAGTTATAAAGAGGAGGGATAGCTCATTGGAATGTCCAGAGATGGGGAAAATGAATTCTCCAAATTCCCTTCCAGGAGCCCTCCTATGCTGAACCAAGTAGCAGTTTCTTTTCACATGTCCTTAATGTTGATAAAGGAAGATATTCCTTGCTCATATACACGACAGTTCTGTGGAAAAGGTATATGGAGAGAGATACATATTTTAAAAGCTTGATAGCTTTTTTCCCTGTATTTTAGGCTTATAGATGATTATTCTTTGCTTATTTATACTTTTTTATATGCTATTTTTCCACAATAAAGGTTTATACATTTTTTAATTAGAAAAATGACTTTTTAAAACCCTGAAGCCCCATGTGCTTATTAGGCTTCTTTAAGTCCAGGTTTAGTGAGACACACGCCATTTCCACCAGAGAGAGATTTGTTAGTTAACTGTCTTGACCACAGACAGCATCTTGGGAAAGAAAACTGAAAACATCTTGCTGGCATCAGAGTAATGCTTCCTGCTGTGCCTAGTAAGAGAAAGAAACAGGTGCTTTGCTTCTAATGAGAGCAATGGCCCTGTTGGGGGTGGATTGGAAGGGACTTTGGCTTCCTTTCAGGCAGTGGTTCTCAGCCTTCCTAATGCCACAAGGTATTTTCATTGTTAAAAAGGGGTCATGACCCACAGGTTGAGAACCACTGCTTTAGAGCACAGTCACCCTTCCCTGTGATTGGGGTGTTACATAGACAATTATGTGGGTTCTATTCATTGTAAATGGACCCAGACTGTCCACACGCTGCTCATCCCGAGAAGGAGCCATTTCTGTTTCTCAGTAACCTCAGCCTGGTTGTGCTCTCCTTCGTACATTCTGTTTTCAGATGACTGGTTTCCAGGAATGTGTCTGAAATGACACTGTACACAATTTCCACAGAGCTTGGTATTTCTGTTTCTACCTATTGTCTGGCCCTATCATTGTTCACCAGCACAGTCTGAAAGTAGGCAGGTCACCAGGTTGTGAATTTGTGGGATGAGAGCCAAATACTCTGAACACTAGTATCTTTCAGCCCGGCCCCAGGGGGACCAGCACCATGGTCTCTCCTCTGGGCCTCTAGTACAGAAAGGCGCTGAGGCTGCCTGCACCTGATCCGTGTATTGGAGGGGGGCGCTGGGGCAGCGACTCAACTCCACAGAAAAATTCATTCCAGAGGACTATGGACTCTGTCTCCTCCTCTGCAGGTGCCCGGGATGTTCATTTCTAGACAGGCTCCACACAGACACTCTTGCTTACTTTGATATTTGATCAGAGGCATTCAGTGGCCCAGCCTGGCACCCCATGCACATCCCCATCAAAGTACTATTGTCATTGCATTCACATGTGTCCCAGGTTATGGCATTAAGTGCACGGCAGAGGTTGCAGGAGAGGCTGGCAAGCCAAAACACTGACGATCACCCTATTTTAATCCACTGTTTAGTAAACGCTTTACTGTTTTCATAAAACCAAACTAAGTGTTTTACATGCATGATCTTTTTTTCTTTTATTTCTAATTCTTTCCTGGGTTCTGTCATCTCGTTTCAAATTTTCTGTTTTTGTCTTATCATCTCATTTCTGAGGTTTTTTTCATTTTTATTTACACTGTTCTTTCGTAGGTTTTTTGTTTTGTTTTGTTTTGAGACAGAGCCTCAAGCTGTCCCCCTGGGTAGAGTGCTGTGGCATCACAGCTCACAGCAACCTCCAACTCCTGGGCTCAAGCGAGTCTCCTGCCTCCGCCTCCCAAGTAGCTGGAACCACAGGCGCCTGCCACAACACCCGGCTATTTTTTTTTGGGTTGCAGCCATCATTGTTGTTTTTTGGCGGGTCCAGGCTGGGGATTCGAACCCGCCACCTTAGGTGTACATGGCTGGCGCCTTAACCCGTTGAGCTATAGGCACCGAGCCTCTTTTGTAGGTTTTATCTTTAATTTTTTTCAGCTTGTTTTGAAATATTCAGTTATACTTTTTATCTGTTGCACAGGCATTTATCATCTTTGAAGACTTTATTCTCTTTTATCTTATAGTTTGGCTAGGATCTGATAAAAGTCCCTTTCTATTGCTCATATTTAAGGGAAGTAAGTTTCCCATGAATTAGCTCTGCTAATTTCATGACTCTGAAATTCCCAGTTCTGTTGTTTTTTCAACGTGATCAGACACAGCGCTCACATGTTCTCAGCTCTGCCTCATTTGCTCTTTTAGCTGGATGGCAATCTCTTCCATTTGCACTTGTTTTCCCTGTTATCACCAGTTTGCATATTCCTTCCATTAGAGTCTCCTCAATATTAAGGTTTTGACCTGGAAAGTTCTGAAGCTTCCTTTAGGCCTGACCACTGCATCAGATGAAACTTTCTATTGAAAAAGTGAACCCCATACCTGAGAAACCTGACCCAGAAAGGTTGGCCATGAGATGGATCCAAGTCAAGGAACTGAATTTTAAAGAAAAAGAAAAATATCTTTTGGGCCTTTCAACAAAAGACTGAGAAACTTATGGTGGAAACAACAGCTTTATTTTATTTTATTTTACTTTTTGGAGACAGAGTCTCACTTTGTTGCCCTGGGTAGAGTGCTGTGGCATCACAGCTCACAGCAACCTCAAACTCTTGGGTTTAAGTGGTTCTCTTGCCTCAGCCTCCCAAGTAGTTGGGACTATAGGCACCTGCCACAACGCCCAGCTATTTTTAGAGATGAGGTCTCGCTCTGGCTCAGGCTGTTCTCCAGTCTGTGAGCTCAGGCAATCTACCTACCTCAGCCTCCCAGAGTGCTAGGATTACAGGCGTTAGCTACTGTGCCTGGCCCTAGCATCAGTTTAAAACAGAAAATATAATGTAAAATATTTAAGATACTAAAGGGAAAAAAATGTGAGGTGGGTATTTTATATATAATCAAACTGACATCTGATTTTAAGAAAAGCAGTACCATTTTTAAAAGGGGGAGAACTCAGGAAACTGCTGGGTCCTGCAAGTGCTGAGTGAACAGAGGAAGAAACCAGCTGGGGTCTGTAACTGCAACCTCTAAGCTAAAAATACTGATACCCAACACAATGAGAATAAAATGTGTCTGTGTAACCACCCCTGTATTTAACCTGGATTAAGGGACAAGAGTAAATAGCAGATATTTCATTTCCCTGTGTGTCCGCATGTTGCACGATGTATTTCCCAGATAAGACTGAGAGCCGGTACCTGTGATCAACCTTTGAACCATCATCTTCCAAAGAGTCAGGAAAGAGAAGCCTAAATCCGAAGTGTGATTCTTGTTGCTCCAAGCTTGTCCTGGCAACCCATACTCATTTTTAGAGACGGCATATTTTCTGGGGTTTTGTTTATTTATGCATCTAAAATCCTCTCTCCACCATTCTTTGCAACCCATTGATATAAAATTTGTGTTTCCCCTTAAACTCTCGGGCAAAAGTTGTAGACATTCTGCCCCAGCAGATGTTCATGAACCTTGCTCTGAAAATGATTGGTGTCCATGATTTTTTTTCTGAACATAGGCTTTGGAAAAGCCAACAAGTTAGTAGTGTGCCAAGTCTGATTTTCCTCTATATCAAAAAAGTACTGTTTTCAAACCTAGTGCAGAGAGAAGAGAAACTCCTTCATGCCTTCCTTCACTCCAGTGGACTCTCCTGGAGGCTGTGGACACCAAGTGCCATCCCAGCCTGAATGGGGAACAGCCACAGGAGCACTTCCCTGTAGTACCTTCCTCTTGTTCCTGTCCCCACCCCATAGGTGGCTTCTTACCCTCACGTTGATAAGAACCAGTCACCAGAGTGCACAGCAGAGTGTGGTGTTGAGCGGCACAGTGCCCAGGTATGAATCAGCTCAACATGCACCCGCTAGCCATCTGCATGACCTTGGGCAAAGTCCTTAACCTCTGGGTGCCTCAACTTCCTCATAGCAAAACAAGGCTAAATTGTTGTGAGGGTATAGTGAGCTCAGCAGATGCAGCCAGCCCAGGCCTAGCATGGGAGCAAACCATCAGACACGCTGGCTGCTGTCTGCGGTTGAGGATTGACTAAAGGATCAGGCAGAAAGCATCCCAAGGAATGACACTTTCTATCCAGTAGCCCCCTGCTGTGTGGTGCTGGATCCAGTCCAGAGGAATGGGAAGAAGGGGCAATACCTCTACAGTGGGGCTGCTCCCCTGTCCAGGTGCCATTGGGAAGACACACCACGCTGCCGGGCCCAACCAGCCGGAACCCGGGGTTGCAGGTAAAATGGACTTCATGATCCACTAGGTACTTGCTTCCAAACTTTTTGCCATCTGGAGGGGCATTCAGAGCTGGGCAGGAAACTGTAAAGAGCAACAGAAGGATTAGGAGCCCCTCCTCCTGGACCACCACCATTTAGGTATCACTTTTGAATTACATGATGTCCCATCTTTAAGTGCCCCTCTGTTGGATGCCCGCTCCAGGCCATGCACTTTGTTGCCCATTCTGAGTGCTGCATCTCATGGAGCTCTCAAAACTCTCTTGAGGATGGGCAATGTAGTGATAGCCTCAGAGACATTGTGCACAGGGCCTTACAGCATGGGAGGGTCACATGTCCCACCGTGGCTTGTTCACCCCCCCACCCCCACCCCCGTTTCCTTGGAGCTCCAAGCTTTTTTCAGGTCTTCTGTACAGGTGGGGCTCAGACCCACTTCCAGGCCTGGCTTTTGCTCTTCTCTACCTGGAATGTTGCTTCCCCAGAACTTCTATAACTGGCTCCTTCTCACTCTTCCCTTCTCCACTCAAACGCTCCCACCTCCCAGAGTGATCCCTTGCCACCAGGCCTAGCCAAGACTTCCCCACATGCTCTCCACCTGCTGAGCTCATTTTGCTTTCTTCTTAGCATTTGTAACCCCTGGAATTTTCATATTGCTTCTTTACACGTTTGTTGTCAGAATGCGTCTGGCCTGTGTTCCTGCTGTGTTCCCCAGTACTAGTCGAGTGCTAGCACATAGTGAGTGTTCAATAAAAACATTCTTAAATGAATGCACGGAACATTATTTACTACGTTGTGCCAGAAACTTAGGATATTATCAGTGATGAAATCCAGCCCTCTGGCCAGGCACAGTGGCTCATGCCTATAATCCCAGCACTCTGGGAGGCCGAGGTGAGTGGATTGCTTGAGCTCAGGAGTTCTAGACTAGCCAGAGCAAGACTAAGATCCTATCTCAACTGAAAATGAAGAACTGAGGCAAGGCAATCACTTGAGCCCAAGACTTTCAGGTTGTCACGAGCTATGACGCCATTGCACTCTACTGAGGGCAACAAAGTGAGATTTTCAGTCCTCAGTAAGCCCTCCATCTAGCAGTGGAGACAATCAATACGGTATCAATACGCAATGGCACAATTGTGTCATGTAGGAAATGAAAGTAGAGACTCTGGTGGTCAGAGTTGGCCTCACTGGAACAGGGCTGAAAGTGAAGGTGCAGCCACGAAGATAGCTGGGGAGAGCAGAGGAAGCCGTCAGTGCAAAGGCCCTGAGGTGGGCTTGTGCCCAGCAAGCCTGTGGTGTGACAAGGAGGCCACCAGGATGGAGAGGAGTGAGTGGGGCAGAAAGTGGTTGGGGATGAGTTAGGCAACGAGGTGGGAGGAGAAGGCCATACAATTTGTTCTCTGCATGAGACTAGGCCATTGCAACTGCGAGCTGAGGCATGAAGCGACCTGGCTCCAAGCATCAGTACAGCTGCAGCTTGAGCAGGAAGTGGCAATGTGAGGGAGGAGATGGGGGTGGCTTAGGCCACAGTGGTAGCCCGGCATGGAGAGATGGTTGGAGCCCCAGCTGTTAGAGCAGAACTAGCCAAATTTCCTAAGGGACTAGCATGGCTGTAGAGAGACAAGGGCAGCTTGCCCACCCCTCTTCTGTCCGAGGCAGAGCATCTCACCCACAGGCAGCTCAGGCAACCTCTATTTAATGAGCGAGTGCCCAAGGTTGACACAGCTTGAACTTGGATTCAGTTTAGATGAAAATTGGGTACCACTTCTAAAATGCTTTCAGTTAAATTCTAAGTGTCATTTGTCATTTTAGGATTTTAAATAGGTGAAAACAAAACTGTTCTTTGAGCTGTGCAGGTTGAAACAAGTGAGGGGCACGTCTGCCAACATGTTTACCAGGGGGTCCCTGGACCTGAGGCTGCTCAGGAACACGACGAGCCTCCCTGTCCTGGAGAGCAGCTGGCTGCAGTGGCCGGGTCAGTCCCAGCCTGGGGTCCCTTATGGAGCAGCCACGCAGCCTCGCCCAGCAGGACACTCAGAGGCCCATGGTGATTGGGAAATGTCCACACATTGCTTCGGTGCCTTCCTTGAGCAAAGCCCCAGGTTGGCACTGAGTGGTAAAAACCTCCTGAGAAGGTGGTGAGAGAGCTCGTGCCCCAACACATGCTGCTCACAGAGTGCTGTGTTGTTCTCCGAAACTTTACAGTTCCTTTTATAATTCTAGTATTTCATTGTGTTTAAAAGATCTCTTTGGAATGAAAAATCTTTAAAAACCACAAAGAAAGAAAAATACCTGCTGGGGCAACTCACAAGTAAATTGTCCCTGAAGAGATCAAACAGTATCTGAACGTAACAGGTGCTTACTAATGTGAGTGGGATGAATGGCTGCATACAAATTCATTAAATAGCAAGGTGTCCTCACATTCCCAACAGGAGCTGCTGACCCTTGCTCCAGTGAAAGGCTGAGGACCTCTATCTTGGTTGACTCCTTTCACGCTAAGCACATCCCGGGAGTCTACAGAGCCACAGCGAATCTCCCCAAATCTTCCTGAATGAGCTTAATGTGTAAGGAATGGGATCAACATTGGCCTGGCTGATCAGCTGGTGATACTCTCAGGAAAGAAAGGCCAGGAAAATAGGAGAAAGGTACCCAGCATAGAACCCAGAAGGAGGAAGACAAAGAATTCTCTAGAAGTAAGAATTGTCCTTAACACCAGCAAAGGCCCTTTAAAAAAAAAAAAAAAGGAAACATCTGGGCATGCTTCTGGCCTTCCCCTAGCTGCAGGCCCTGCCAGCCACCGCTCTCTGCAGGGGGATCCTGACAGCTGCCCACCCTCTGCAGGGTCATCACAGGATTAGCCTCTGTGCCAGTGACGTACTCAGCACAGTGTCTGATACATACTGTGAGAGACGCAATACCTGGTGACAATTTTTTAAGAAGATAATTTGCCACTTTTTAAAATCTAGCAAATTTCAGGGATGAGAGACCCCAAATTTGGGGAAGAGATAATAACGTAACAATAGCTTTCTTTCTGTCTGTCTAGTGGACAGGAGTCTCTAATATGAGCAGGGCAGTTATATAAATGATTCCCTACAGGCTCTTCACCAAAACTCCCAGAACCATAGACAGCCCTGATCCTGTGAATAAAAGAAGGCTTTATGGAGTCACGCCTTCAGCAGGAAAAAGAAATCACTGTGTCAGGGCCCTCTGGCTACTCATGCATGTCTCTTGGCCTCAGTTTCCCCACTGGTAGCAGGAAGGAAAGACACTCTGCCTGCCTCATGGAGTTTGGGTCTGTCGAGCCCCACTGAGGGCTCGGGCCTCACGGTGCCTTAGAAAGTGTGCGGTTTGGCTGGGACGTCTAGTTCGGCACCAGTGGAGCCAAGGAAAACAAGGAGTCGACTCAGTGCCGCTGAGATCTGGATTTGGTACCATAACCTCTGACAAGGTAGGAAATCCAACAACTTCCCCAGGAAACTTCATCTCATACAACAAAGAAGGCCCTTGATAAATGTGTCTGCAGTGAGCAAATGATGTCAGATATTCCACAGGCTCATGACTTAGAGCAAACATGATGACTGCCCTCTGCCCCCCAACACCCCGAGGAGAGGCCGGAGGAAAACCAGCCGCACACCTCTGGGCCCTGGCAGCATGAAAGTCATTACCAGGACAACCAGGAAAAAATCCTCCAGTGTCTGTCAGAGACCTACCCTCAGAAGACGGAGTCTAGGTGTCTACCGTAACCTCACCAGACAAATGGAACTTGTCCTTGGCAGTCCCTCTCTCCCATCCCCTGGCATTAATGGGTCTCACTGGAGGATGTACTTTCCTGCCTGAAAAACTGGAGCCAGGGTTGGTTTGTGGACTGTGACAAGTATATGGTCCTGGCGCGGGCCAGGGATGGTGGGGATGGGGTGTGTGCATGCGGAGAGAGTGTGTGTGAGAACTCTCTGTACTTTCCACTCAGTTTTGGTGTGAACTTAAAACTGCTCTAAAAATAGTCTGTTAAATTAAAAGCAAAAATAAAAACAAAGACAAAACTGGTGCCAACTGCTGTCTCCATGGGTAGGGGTGGTGGGGAAGAACAGCCATGGCTAAAACATGTGCCTCTCAACAATCTGTCAGGCTGACGTGAAGACCTGATGGCTGCTGAATGTGAGAGGAAGCGGGGTGCCTTTCTGCCTGGGGGAGAACAGAGAAGGCAGCTGCCCCTGCCCCACTCTCCCAGCCAGGGTTGAAAATGGGCGGCAGATGGAAGGTGAGGTGGGGAGGGTGAGTACGGTCAGGACCTCGGGCAGGGTGGACTGGGCTGGGAGAGCACCCAGGCGAAGTGCTCGAGTGTCCTCCGGAGGCCCCAGCAGTGCTGACTTGGGGACCCACCTGGCGGCGCATCCGGGGCCACCCTGCTCACAGAGCTCTGCAGCGCGGCCAGCCGGCTCTTCATGTGGCGGATGCCCTCGGCGAAGCGCGTCTCCTGGCCCTTCAGCAGCTGCTGCAGCTGGCGGATGGCCGAGAGTAGCTGCTGTTTGTTGAGACAGTTCTGGGGAGAGAAGACACCACCACCACCACCACCACACCCATGTGACTGGCTCGGTTGCACACACTCACTCTGGGGCTCCAGAAGTCCCCCAAGCCGCAGAGTCCAAGCTGTCTAGGGGCTCACTAAGCACGATGTGAAAGTGACCTCCAGCTGCTCAGTCACATGAGCCATACATAGCCCTAGTTCACCCTTCAACAAAAACAAAAACATAGGCAGAACTAAAGACTCTACGTGACTGGGTGGTTGAACAATTGTTTGAATCCAGCGTGCTTTCCAAGCACTATTCTGTTACTCCAAAAGACACACTCTTTAATCCTTAACTCTAAGATCTGGTCTTAGTGTGAACTTCCCCCACCTTGTACGTTTTTTAAAGCAAAAGAATGATAGTGCACACAGAATAGGCCAAACAGGAATGCCCAGTGGTCCTTACACTTTTAAACATGTAACAAGACAAATGAGAAAAAAACTCAATGGTGTTAAAGAGGCAGTCAAGGAAACTCACCATTCAGTTCTGATGATTTTTTTAAAAGCCACATGAAACAGGAAAAGGAGGGTCATGCTCATCGTGATAAAGGCTATCTAACTTCAAGCAGCACCCCGCATCATACTTAATGATAAAAACCTCAAGCTTCCCAATCTCAATTGCCTTTAAGAGCTGGGACATGAAAAAGAGTTAGGAAGGTAAATCCACCGGGGAGTGATAGGACCTTGGCCAAGGTCATTCACATTCACCTGCAGGGCCATGTGTTACAATAGCACAACGTTGGCTCTGGATTACCTGTGGAAGAAAGGAGGTACACCTTGACAATGGCAACGGTTATCTTTAGGGATGAGTTTATAGATCATTTTAAATTTTATTTCTTATACTTAAGTTTTTATATGAATATTAATTTTATAATTTGCAAAAATTGTCTAAAAGCCAGTAGAATGGCTAGGTGGCTGAAAGGCATGTGGCCTCCACAGCCTGGGTGGCTTCCCATCTCACCAGCGCAGCGTCACCACCACCACAGTGGAAATGAGCCACAGCCACTCTCCTGGGGAGCCTGCCAGGCCGCTGAGCCTTGGCGATTTCACCAAACAGATGACTCACTGGCCAGATTCAATGAACGCTTTTGACAAAGTTGAATCCCCAATTGCCCCTGGAACTCGTTAATCCATGAGAGCTCCTTGGCCTCCACCATGACCCAGGCTTCACAGGGCATAGTCCCAAAGGCAATTGCTGGGAAGAGAAGTTTGGCTTGTTTTCCTTCCTCCTCCCCCACTGTGGTCTTCCCACACAGGTCCTGGGGCACCTGAGGGGCAACCTCCTGTAATCCCCTACCTGCCCAGCACCACAAGTCCATCCCATTCAGCCCTGATTTCCCACACCCACATCCCCTCCTTTTGGGAAAAAAGAAGGGCCCATAGCTGTAAATCTAGCACTGTGGGAGGTTAAGGAGGGAGGAATGCTTGAGCTCAGGAGTTCAAGACCAGCATGAGCAAAAGCAAGACCCTGTCTCTACCAAAAATACAAAAATTAGCCAGGCGTGCTGGTAAGTACCTGTAGTTCGAGCTACCTGGGAGACTGAGGCAGGAGGATCACTTTAGCCCAGGAGTTTGAGGTTGCTGTGAGCTATAATGATGCCATGGTAGTCTACCCAGAAGACAAAGTAAGACTGTCTCCAAAATAAAAAATAAATAAATAAATAAAAAAGAGGGATGGGGCTCATATGTCAGTCACATCTGTGACGTGCCTCTCAGTGCACACAGGGCTTCTGTGCTGCCTGGAAGTGTGCTTCACTACTGGCTGGCAGCAACGCTGTGGAGAAGGCTTGTTTCTGTTTCGTAGATGAAGATAAGGAGGCTGAAAGTCAAATGACTTGCCCCAAAGTCATGGGGCATGGGGATTAGAGCAATAAGGCAGCTAGGAGCCCTGTGACTCCAATCTGCGCCCCCGGGCACCCTGGTTGACTGTCTCGCTTGTCCTCACACTCACAGGCTCCTGTGTGGTGAATGGTCTTACGGATGAATTTGCACTTGGGGCTCAGCGCCTGTAGCTCAAGCGGCTAAGGCGCCAGCCACATACACCTAAGGTGGCGGGTTCGAATCCCCAGCCTGGGCCCGCCAAACAACAATGATGGCTGCAACCAAAAAACGGCTGGGCGTTGTGGCGGGCGCCTGTAGTCCCAACTACTTGGGAGGCTGAGGCAGGAAACTCGCTTGAGCCCAGGAGTTGGAGGTTGCTGTGAGCTGTGATGCCATGACACTCTACCCAGGGGGATAGCTTGAGGCTCCGTCTCAAAAAAAAAGAATTTGCACTTGGGATTGATAGGACTGAACCAGAACGTCCCACAGTGGATTTCTAACTCCCCTGCACATGTCAGGTTGGGCAGCCTGAGCGGTGGGGCAGGGCGTGGGGAGAGGGCAGGGAGGAAACATCTGAGACCACCATGAGCCACATGAGCAGCTGCCCCCCTGTGCCACATGCTGGCCTGGTCCGTGGCAGCTGGGAAAGGACTTGAAGCAGACAGGAGGGCTCAGTTTTGAAGCTGGGAGAGATCTGTGCCAAGGCTGGGAGGGGCAAGCACACTGCCAAGAACCTAGGGGTGGCAGCCTAGGATGTCAGAAAGTAGAGAAAGCAGGGAGCGTATGGGGAGGGAAAGGGACCAGTTCTCCAGTTGCCCGCTGGGTAGCCAGGTGTTTCTATCTAAACTCAGTGTGGCTGGCTTCAGGCACAACTGCCCACTGCTCCCAGCGATACTTCCTTCACCATCAGGCAGCAGCAGGCACTAGGTGCTCTCTGGAGGTGAGATGTGCTCGCCCTGCCAGCTACAGCCAAAAAACCTTAGAAACCTTCAAGACCAAGCAAATGAAGGCCACATGCCAGGAAGGCAGGGAGACAGAAAGTTGCAGGCTGACTTGCTGACCATAGGTCTGGAGGCTCTGGTTTCGCCCTGGGGCCCACTTTGCTGGGACAAAGCACAGTGCAAGGAAGGTCCTTGGTGCTCTCAGCAAGCCAGTGTGCTGGGGTCAGAGCCAGGGTGCCAGGGAAACAGAGAAAGTGAGTGCCTTCAACACGAGGCTTGAGGGCCTGGGCTGCAGCTGCTCCTAACAGGGTGGGTCCCTAATCCCAAAGTGCTAGAAACGGAGCCTTTGGACACCATGCTATGCTCAGAGTCTGTCATGTGTCATCAGCATAGACATCTCTGAGCTCATTTGCAGAGCTGCGTGATGGGCTGGAATCCCTACAGACTGAGGCAGATGCTCAAGAGACCTGCACCGTGGGGACAAATGGGGCCATGGGAGGGGGACTAAGAACCCATGTGCTACCCCTGTTTAAACTGAGAAACCTTTCTTATTTTGTTGGATTACAAGAAAAAGCATATTCCTTACACAACAATTCAAAATACAGAAAAACATATGAAAACATAGAGCAAGTTCCATGACAGAAATAGCCGCTGTTAACTTTTCATTCAGTTTTCACCTTGGGGTCACACGCAGATGCACGCTGCATAGGACTGGAGGACGTCTGCCCTTTCTGCTGGCTGTGGGCTCGACACTGGCTCCAGCGTCCTTTGCATGTCCATGAGCAGAGCAACCCACTTGACCCTTGGGTCTCAAGTTCACTTCTGTCCCTTGGGGTGCTCTTTTCAGTCTCAAAAGGGGACTCCTTGCCCACACTCACAACTAGCTGCCCACTCCCCACCCACACTCACACCCACAGCCACCCCCTGTACTGGGCCAAGAGGAGCCAGCACGGGAACAAATTATTTTCTTCTTCGTAAATGTAGCCCCTGCTGAGGTCTACCTGAAGAGGCTGCCAGGGGCTGTGGAGCAGGAAACTGGCCAGACCCTCAGTGGCTGTCCACCTGTGTTTCAGTGAAGGACTGGCTTTGGGTACTTCTTTCCTACCTCAGGGTACACACCCTTCCAGAGCTGACCTCCTGCTCCGTGCAAAAGCTCACCAAGGCTCTGATCATGCCAAGGTCAAATCTGGACAGGGCAGAAGAAAAGGGCATATCCCAGAGGCTGGTACCATGAAGCTCATTTCCCAGACCTATTCAAGGCTCTTGAGGGGCCCTTCCTTTAAGACATTTTTTAAAAAAGATCCCCTCAAAAGATTTAAGTTTTCATCCCTTCAAACCCAGGCTATTCGCCCAGCTTATGCCATTGACAATAAACAATGAAAAATACTTTCCATTTCTTTGAGTTAATAACTTATTTGAAATGAAACCAAGAAAAGACATTCAGTGAAATTCTTCCATCTTAAGAGAAGAGAAAGATGAAGATTTACTGCTTCTGTTATGAAACTCTTTAAAGGGGCAGGCACCTCATCTCACTTGACACCACTATCTGCAGAGAAGATGTGAACCAGTTAGAGAAGTAGCAACAGATGTTACCCTGTCCGGGTCTTCCCAAGCCAGAGTGGTGGCAGGGATGGTTCTGGAATACATAGGCCAGTGCTGAGAGCTAAGAGGTCAGAGGTGGCTGGTCCTGAGGCTTGTGGGATCAAGAAAGCCCCACGAACACCCCATCTTCTCCTGCCCACCTTGGGAATTCCTGTCCATCTTCCCTCCAATCCATCCTCTCTCAATATTTGCTCTGGTGGGTCTACTGGAGACTCCTCAGAGCTCACAACACTCCTCTTTCTCTGAGAGAAAGATGGGCTTCCAGAGATATTTTTGATCCCAGACACTGCCTGCTGGCCTAGGGGTGCACACAGCTGAAGATGGGCATATGTCCCCCCACAGCTCACCCTGTCTCCATTCTCAGGCCCAGTAAGCCTGAGCCCTCCTATTCCATCCACACTGCAACTGAAGTTCAAGACACAGCCTGTTATCATGGCACTGAGGGGCTCTGGAAGAAGGTTCAGGAGAATGAGGGGAATGGAGGGGGTGGTACTTGAGGCTTTTGTTCTCCTGTGACCTGGCTTGATAGACTTCCTCACAGTCGTGGCACAGGGACAACTCCCAAAAGCCACCTTGGTGACAGGAGAGCCCTGATCCCTTCGGTGGCCACAG